TTGCATAGATATCTGTCTTTATCCTAGGGTAGGTATTAAATTTCATTCAATTTAATTTTTATTTTAGCATTAAAATTGTTAATGAACTAATAAAATTAATATAGATATGTCAGGTACCTATAAATTTATTTTTGTATCAAATCGCATAATTTTCTCTTTGTACGCTTGTTCTTTGATATAATAGAAAAAAAAACAACATTTCTAATAGTTTAAGGCAAAGATCTGTTAATACTGGATGTGGATAGCGCGCTTACGGTTTTTCTAGTGTATGACTTTGAATTCAACGCGGGAAAAGGATAGCATCATCTGTACTTTAGCGAGTGCGATGAGGACCAGTTTGTATCACTATATAAATTAATGGTAAAGACTTAAGAAAAATTTGTGGTGTAATTTTTGTGAAGTTGTATGATTAATTCAAACAATTCGAATAAAAACAAACGGAAAGTTTTACTAAACGTTTAATCAAGTTTCGGATAATATAGCAATTTACCAAAGTATATAAAAGATTACTAATAGGCGAAGAGCCGATAATACTAAAAGTACCGTCATCGCGGAATTGTTAAATTTTTAAAAAAATTAATAATTGACAATTATAACAAAATGGCCTTAATTTACTTAGTCAAAAGTATATTAAAAAAATATAATAAAAAAGAAAAAATGTTTTACCATCATCGCAAAAAAAACAGTCGAATTGAAAACCTCCTCATTTTTGAAGTCGGTTAAAAAATAACCCTACACTGATGTAATGAGAATACTAATGTTACTGCTACTGTAATATAAAATAATGTTTCCAGTATGAATAAAGTTAGGTCATATGATTAATTTTAATTTTACCAAACCAATATATACATTAGTATTTTTTTGGAAATATAAAGAGGTGTATTGCCTCCTGTGAATTTTGATTTTGTTAATTTCATTGTAAAGTTATTGATTTTTTTTTGTTTACTTTTATGATAAATTGACTTCCGTTATTTTCCAACAAATATCCACAATGTGATCTAACCATGGGATGATTTTTAAATGGTTTCTTATTAACCTAATGATATTCAATAAACTAAATTGCTAAATTTACACGATTTATTTAGATGCCGTTTATTGTTATGGACAAAACAGGGACAATTTCCTGGTATCGGAGTATTTGTGTATAAAATGTTACACTAAAATACTATACTTGCGTTATTGCGTTAAGTAAGAGTATATATATCTGTCTTTTTCTTATGTTGGAGTCACTTACCAAGAGTTGCGCGCTATCATATTGAGTATTACTAGATCTTTGTTATACAGTATTAGGAAGATACATTTTTTTTTTTTACAAGTTTTAATTTATATTGCACAATTTTAAAGGGTCTGTGGTATGGAATTTTCTTTAATGTTAATAGTTACTAATACCAGTGGTATTAATTTTGATTAAATTTTCATTACATAACCCCTTATATAAAAAGTTGTAAGGAAGTAAGAATTAAATCGGCAGATTAAGGAACGATTTTAATGTGTTACTTATTTCAGGTGCAACCTGCAGCTGGATCTCCTATATTTATAGCATCTGCCGATGGACCGGTTATTGTTACCCAATCGGCATATTGGGTTATGCGTTTACCTTACGTCTACGCGTCTGATAAAGGCAGTTATACTGAAAATATTACTGCCCGATTATTAGCTAAAGTTTTTGCAGTAACTGCAATTGATGATTAATTTGTATTTATGACTAATAATATTTTATTTTTGATATCTTTGTTTATTCAAATAGCATCTTATGGGGAAAACGATAATTAGAAACTAATTCAACAAAAGCTCTTACAATTAATAAACCTATTTAAACAACGATAAAAATACTGGTAATGGCTTCGCTTTTTAATTTGTTGTGGTAATCTAACAAGTCGGTATACACATTTTACATCTTTTAGGGCATCCTTTGGCTCTTTTTAAAATAATTAATTTAGATGGTCTTAACTTAAGATATATAGAGAGGTTATTACCAAAATGTAACTGTCGGATATAAGCTGGTTGATTTTATACGGAGAGGGTTAAATTGATCTGTATTTATAACTTCTGATTCTACTCTCAAGTCAACGCTAGATTTTTTTAATACTTTTTTTGGGAATATACTGTGCTATATTATATACAAAGTTATAATTATTGTTCATGTTTTCCTCCGCGTGGAATTTATGACTTCATGAGGGTGTTATGAATTTTGCGTTATTTTTTATCAATTTGTCATAGTTAAAATACCTGCAGATCAAAACCACAGAACTTTTAGAGGATACCTCTAAAAAATAGTTAAACACATACATTATTGTTTGTTTTATGAAAGTGTATTTTGATTATTCTTTAATAACTTTACAAAAAACCAAACCATATAAACAGATTTTTTAGACATAACAAGAAGCTTCATTAAATTTATGTTAAAAAGTTGTAAAACTATCTACAGTTGTGTTTTAAGAAGAGGAAACCAAAAGAAAAAGTGAAAACAAAAAGCACGTCTTTTGTTATTATTTTTAATCTACAAGATTAATCCTATTAATAACGCAAAAGAGCTTCTAAAAGAGAGGAGACTGGGAGACTCATAAGCTATGCTCATAAGTATTGGTGCAAAAATGAAGCCTTTGTATATCTATTATCAATGAATGAAGCCCATTCGCCACCAGGGCAATCTGATCATAGGCGTAACTGAGATACAGATATATATAATTTACGGCTAATTTTTGTCGCTTTGACTATCAATTGCAAGAAGAACAATTAAGCATAATAACAAATATTAAAATTAATGTTTTTTATCCATTAATCACTTAGAAATATACAATATTATTCCGCAGTCCACGACTTAGGATAATAAGATTACGGTAAGGAAAGCAACACACATAAAGTGAACGTTGTGATTGCCATGTACTATCTCTTTTTTTTCTCTGGTCGGTAACCATAGAGTATAGTCAGAGATTGGACTCCTTATCTATAGTCACAGTATAAACTATTTACTGTGCTATAGTATTATCTATGGCTATAGTCTTCATAGGCAATGGTCAATCAGCTGGATTTAACCTTAATTATTTTGTTATCATTTGTATTAATAAGTAGCCCATAGTTAATATACTGTAATGTGAATTGTTCGCTATTATAATTTAAAGATAAACATCAGATCTGATATTTTAATTATAGTTATAGCTGAATCGACTGCATTAACGATAGGAAAGTCCAAATAGCAAATAATAGGGCTAGATTTAGTTATTGTCTAATATTTACTAAAAACTGAAAAGAAGTACATTTTAGAAAATATAAAATATGGATGCTGGTGGTGATAGGTAAGTTTTATTTTTCTACTATAACCCCAATAAAGCTTAATAATTTCAGGTTGCAGTATTCAAGTAATATAGCTTTTATTAGAGAAGTGTATGATAGTGAATATGCTCATCAGGTATTTGCATTGGAATTAGAAAAGGCTCTTGATGCTGGATGTTCTGTTATTGTAATTGAACCTACTCAATTAGGGGAAGATACAGCTCAGTGGATTACTGTGGGAAATTGTTTGCACAAAACTGCTGTTTTTTCAGGCTTAGCTTCACTAACTGCAGGTTTGTTATAATTTTTGAGTAAATTTGAAACAATAGCAATAATTTGTTTAACTACAAAAGAAATAATTTCCAAAACATTTATTTATAGTTTAGGCAGTGAATTAGCAGTATAGTTCTTCACAATATAATTTTTGTCTTTCAGTATTAGAGAGAAAGACAATTTTCAATTTAATCATATTAGCATCACATATTTATAGTGTTAAATATGAGTATTTTTTCAAATTTAGGATTTATATGGCCTGATCGACCTTTGGCTAGCACCCCATTGGCGGCACTATCTTTCCTTTGCACTAGTCTCTACACAGCTTCTTGGCAATTTGATAATTGTGTTAAATATCAGGTAATTTTTCCTAATTTTCTAACTATTGTATTACCAGATTAGCTTTAAAATTTGTAAAACATTTTTTGTTTAGGTGGAAAAGGACCCTAGAAAACTTACTCGACTTTTAATTTCTTCTGCTGTAACAGCTTCTTCTCCTGTAGTGTTAGTTCGAAAAGACAATAGAAAAAGTATAATTCTTCATTGTACAGTTTCATTTGCAGCTGCGGCATTTTGTGCTTACAGACTGTACTGCACATTTAAGTAGCCATAAAAATTTCAGTGAAAGTCTAGTCTTGTTTGGTTTAATAGGTATTATCTGCAAATTAAACTTTCAAAAGAAACAGGGGTGAGAGATCCATTTTTAAATGCTAAAGATCGATTTATAAGAGTACAAAAATGACCTATTTGTTTAATGTATCATTAACAGTAGATTTTGGAAGATTATTTTCCACCACTTTTTTGTCTCAGTTTAATGTTATTTCAATTAGTAGACATTTTGTAAATAATTACAAGTAACTGGGTCTAATGTTTATTCAGATAGATCTTGAACAAGTGCAAGTTTCTGCAGATTTACTGTTGCATAAATGATTGTAGTTAAAAGTAAATAAATTATTGAAAATACTATATGTATGTGAAAATGTCACATTAGTGCCATAAAGTAGATTTTATTTTTAATTTTCTTTAATGACAATAAAGGTATTAATTTTGATTAAATTTTCATTACATAACCCCTTATATAAAAAGTTGTAAGGAAGTAAGAATTAAATCGGCAGATTAAGGAACGATTTTAATGTGTTACTTATTTCAGGTGCAACCTGCAGCTGGATCTCCTATATTTATAGCATCTGCCGATGGACCGGTTATTGTTANGAAACAAAGGTTGGTTAAAAATTTTTGTAATAATACATACTACGATTATCTCATCAAACATTACTTTCTTCAGATGGAAGATAAGTATGATATTGGTTAAGATTTTTATGAACACTTTTTAAATATTAAAGGTAGAAACAAAACAATGTTGGTGAATAGGTTACTATCCACATTAGAACTAGGTTACAGCATCACCCCAGGAACCGGCGAAAAGTTATCGTAATAATCCTGTGTATGTCGACTTTAAAAAAGTTGAATAAAATGAGTACTGCCCACTTCAAAAATTAAAACTTTTCGTTTTGCACTAACCATACTAACGAATGTTTGCATAGTCTGGATTTACAAAACAAATTGAAAAGTTTCAAAAACACATTAGTAAGACAGATGTAAAATTATAGAATAAAATGCAGTTCTTAACTCACAATCACAGTGCAAAAAAGGAAATATGTGATTACCAAATTAACGTAAACAATTCTTTACTTTTAACTTACTAAAAGTTTGTAATAATGAATAATCTTAACCAGAACAATACTTATCATCCATTTGATGAAGTTTGGCGAAACAATAATTGTAGCAGTGGAATGGAGGCAATATTTTTCTGAACCGGTTATAAAATTTTAAATATTAATTATGGCCTTAAGTTGTTTCAAGTTTTGTTGCTCTTTTTGCCATAATAAAGAAATACAGCCATGGAAAATATTTTCTCAATATTATAACTATTCTAGGAATAGAAGACGACACAATCACTTCATTTTTTTTCTGAATAATTGCTTGTATTACTTCTTTAGCGACATCTTCAGGATTGAAGCCCTTCGCAGTAGTATCATCCATCTTCGAGTACTTTTTCCCTGAGGCTGTCAGTGCATTTATAGACAATGAAGTTTTTATATAACCGGGACTAATGACAGTGACAAAAATGTTACTTGCAGCAACTTCTGCTCTCAAACTGTCACTAAATGCTTGCAGAGCATGTTTAGATGCACTATAGGCTGATCTATTAGGTAAGGCAATGAGACCTTGGACAGAACTAATCATTACTATATGACCTATTTGTCTTTTAATCATAGAAGGTAAAAGGGCTGAAAAAGAAAATTAAATAACTGCAATTAATGATTTATATTAATTTTCTGAATTAGCACATAGAGAGATATATTCTGTGAATATATACTTATACAAGAAATCACAAAAATTACTTTTTTAATGCAGTAAAATCTTTTGTTACAAAATTAGTTTTAAAATTTATGCTTATTTATAATTTTAAGTGTTTATTAAGTAATATTCAAAATAAAGTAGTTTTAGATACTAAAAAAGAGTAAATCTCTCTCTCCAATAAAACAGTATGACATTAAAAATACATGCCTAAACATTAACAGGTATTAACAACTTAATATATTATTGCTTTTAATATTTATTGATTTAATAGAATTACCTTTTGTTAATGTAATTGTCCCAAAATAGTTGACAGTCATAATTTTTTTATCAACTTCAACATTAGTGTTAACAACGGTCCCTCGATGAGAAATTCCTGCATTGTTTATTAATATGTCAACATGGCTAGTGATAGAAAGAATTTTCTCTACCACGTTTTCAAGGCTTGTCAAATCACTGAGATCCAAAGGTATTATAATAGGTGGATGTGTTGGTGTAGTAGAATACATTTGCAATAAGTCATTACGAACTCTTTCTAATTCTTGCCTTCTTCTAGCACATAAAATAACTTGAGATCCGTTTTTATAAAACTCATGCGATAACGCTTCCCCTAAACCAGAGCTTGCCCCTGTTATTACTACAACCTGAAGTGAAAAAGGGTAATTAAATCATTTCGTTTTCTGTTCCTTATATGTACAACTTAAAAAAGTATTATTATTCTTACTAAGTACCTTTCCGGCCAAGGTTTTTTGATTCTGATTAAAGTAAATACTTCTTATTACTTTAAACATAATAACAGGTATAGCAAAACTGAATGCTGTTGTACCCAGTATGTTGTACAAATACTGAAACGCCTTTTTTATACTAATTAAGATTTCAGAATCGGCCATTTTCCAGTTGAAGATTAAATCAATTAATATAGTAAATTTTAGTCACATATTCATTAAATTTCAACTGCACTTGAGTACTTAACTAACAATTCACGATTAAATGATTAAAGTAGATGAAACATACATAACCTATACACTACATAAATAACCTAACCTAAATCCATAGCATAGCCCTTAATAATTAATAGACAACTAATAAATCATAATAGATCAAGCATCATAGATAATCAAGCATTCCAAATCTACTACTACTCTACTTCTATTTTGCATTGATATTACTAATACGCGTGCGCCACTGGTGAATCATAAATAATGTGATCGTATAATGCCAATTTGTAATCATTACCAATAAATAATATAAAAATAAACTTGGCTTACCATAATAGTTCAGTCTTTAGGCACAAATAACACGCAATTAATTTGCGTTAATTAAATTATCGTATCTTCAGTAGTTTTTGAATAAATTGACATTTAATTTCCACCTGCACCCGAAACAATTTTCCTTTTTTTTACAAAATTAATGAATGCACAATTATGATACTTACATATTTAGAACACGCAAACGACGCACAACGTATTGGTCAAGTTTAAATTAGAGAATTATTTATATCGGGTGCCAGATTCACACGACTTTTCAATTACGGATTATAGCTTTACATCTTATCTTTATACCATGGAGCAGACCATCGACGTTTACTACTGAACATGCCTTAACGGTCAGAATTGTGGTACAACAAAAGAAAGATATGGAACGAAGTTTCGGACAATATCCATCTCTCACGATAGTGCGTAAGCGTGTCATGAAAGAGATAGCACTAGTTCGAAACCATACGCCATTTCCCTCACTTTTCGAGCCAAGAAATTATTACAACGACATACGGCTAAGGCACTTCCATTAATATATGTCTATGGAGCAGACTATGGGACTTAGGCCTATGGGATAAGGATAGAATTACAATATGATTACAAAAAGGTCCAGGAATCCATAGTTTGTGATTACTCCTCAGTAGCAATTGTTTGTTTGTTTCTTTTTATTTACAAAAAAATAAAACAGCCCTTATTAGGAAAGTAACCTTTTTTATTTTTACTTATCAATTGATATACAGTATCGTTTGTTTTAATATAATTTACGTTTGTTTGATTGCCAATAATATTTAATAAATATTTTTTCAAAAATATATAAATCTATAACCATATATTAATGAACACCACAAAACCCATGCGCAGATGGTAAATGCGCTCATTACGAATTCTGTTTATCATTAAATAAAATAAAGAGAATTTTATTAGAATTTTAGTATGCAGACTAATCATATCTTATGATCAATGATATGAAAATAAAATTTGAAATGAGTTCAACAATTTACCTAAGTTAATTAAGAATAGGAATAGAATGTACACGCCTTGCTTAATGTAATTATGCTCATTCGTACGTTGCGCAGTAAGAACATGCGCATCCGATTTGCTGCATTAGTACCCTCTATAGTAAGTACAAGTACAAGGAGATTTTGCTTTTGAGTTTAATAATTGACAACTAAAAATACCCAAAATTGATATTCATCGCGTAACTACAAATCGCTTGACGCGTAATTATTGGTTGGTTTTAGTTTTTAGCTCCTATATCTAGTCTTTTTCGGTTTTTATCAATTTACTATCTGCGCATGCGTTTTGTGATGCTCACTAGTGTTGCATAGATATCTGTTGATTAATAAAAGTTATTGGAAAAATACTAATTAAATATTATTGGTAATGAAACAAACGTAAATTATAATCGAACAAACGATACTGAATATCAATTGTAAAAATAAAATAAATTACTTTTCTACTGAATCGACTGTTCATTCTCCATCTACTTATAAAATTAATACAGGTAAAAACATGTAAGAGAGGCAAAGCGATCGTGCGATCAAAGTTGTCTTTCTAGAATTTTAATTGGTTTACATACTGTTTTGCAGGAGCGGATGAATGAGGTAAAGAAAGAGGAAAAGAGACAAATAAACAAACGATTAGAGTAATTTAAAGTTCGGACCTCAACAACTAACATATAACCGTCAATTATAATAACTGTATAATAAACATCAACTATTTATTAACTTGCCTATGATAGTATACAACCAATATAAAATAGATAAAATAACAAAATCCATAACTGCTGAGACTTTTTTGAAAGTAATTAGAAATATTTTTTATTTAATATTTCTTGATTTGATTTTGTTCAAACAAGCCTTAAAAAATACCTTAACTTATTGTAAAAGTTGAAATTTACAATTTTTGATGTTACAAAAGTAGNCCATGCAACAGTATATTACAGTATCACTAATTCTCTTCTTGTCTATGGAGGCATTACTGCAGGTGTTGCAAGGTTTTCTAAGCTCTCTGATCATATGTATATGTTTCAATTAGATAAGCGACAATGGAGTGAAATTCATTATACACGAGAGCACCTCAGAGAAAAATATGTACCTAGAGAAAGGGCTTTTCATACAGCTAATATAATGGGTAACTATTTAGTTATATTTGGTGGTTATACACATAGACACAATAAAGAAGAAATCTGTTATGATAATCAGATGTACTTGTATCATTTGGGCTGTCACATATGGGTTAATCCAGAAATATTAGGAAGACGAAATAATTCATATTATCCAAAAAAGCAAGGAGTTTTCGCGCATGCTTCTGCAGTACGACATAAGAATGTTTTGTTACTAGTAGGAGGCTATCATGGAAATGTAAATGGAGATCTCTTAGCCTATGTAGTTCCTCCAATGATTACTACAAAAAAAGAAGAGCAATACGATCCAGAAGGTGCTTGCTTTTGGCATAAGAATTATGCAGAATGCTCTGCTGATCCTGAATGTGGATGGTGTTCTGCTGATGAAATATGCTATGGTCGCACCATAGGTTTGTAATTTACATATTACTAAACTATTTATATTTTCGGCGGTTACATTGTAATAATTCATTGTTACTATAATACTGTTTTTTATCACTTTATTAAACAAATTATTACCTGAATATACATACTTCCGAGAAAAATTGTGATTATGAAACGATTCAAATAGAATAAATTTCTTGAATTCTTAAATTCTATTTGAATTACTTAATAATGACAATCATTACGAAAGTAGACATGCAATAATTTCATTAATAAAGTAATAAAAAACATTAGTACATTAGTATTACTTAATTTATACTTTTCATACTTTATAAAATCATTTTTATCGAAAATTTAAAAGAAAAAAGAAAAAAACCAGTTACCAATTAAGTAAAACGTATTAATATTTGAAATCAATGTAATCGTCAGTTTATTATTGTAATGTATTTTCTTTGTAAGTAAAAGATTATTTTTCGAAATCCTGCCCTAGTTAGTCACGTTATTAGAATTAAATAGATAATAATTTTGTTTTAATTATGTGATTATTGGCTAATCGTTACTACACAAGGGTATTTGATATTTAAATTGATGATTAATTTATAATAACATTGCCACTAAATATTCGTCTAAATATTAAGTTCTGGACTTTCCTATGATACAAGAATTTTTAAATAAGTATTGGTATAAGATTTGTATGAATATAATTTTGATTAAGAAGGGTTAATAAATGATTTAAATTAATTTAAATACAGTACATAATTCGAAAGAAGGCAATGTTCAACAAAGAAAATAATGCGCATGCGTTGGTTGCAAAAACTTTTACCAGCTGCAAGGTTCTTGAGAACTTTGTTGATGTTTTTTGATTTTGGCGTTTGAATAATGCTTTGATATAAGAAAAGAAGGGGAAGTGAAAAAGGTTACTGGTTATGACTAGTTTTGACAATTAACTCCCTCCTTCCCACCATAATTAACTCTTATTACAATTGCCTGTCACCTGTCATAGCTTACAGGTAATTAATTCGTTAGTTTTATGTTTGTGGTGTAGTAAACAGTACTTTAAATGCACTTAAGAATGTTAAAGTGGCTTTTGGTAGACTGTAAGTTTACAATGTTTAAAGACGTTCTGAAGACTGATTCTTTTACTGGGTAACAGAGTATTCCCAACAGTAAACAGTATGCAACCTCACTTATTAAGAGTTTTTCAAACCGGATTTCTAGTTAATTTATTTATGTTAATCGGTTATGGGGCTGTAAATTTAATTCCTTGTGATAAAACACGCCAGATTCTCACTTCTTCATGGGGTGTTATAACTGATGGTCCTTCTGAATCTAATTACACCCAAGATACTCATTGTGAATGGCTAATCAAGGCTAATACTGTTAACAACAGTAAATTTATTACTCTTAGTTTTTCAAGTATGGGAACAGAATGTTCTTATGACTATGTCTTTGTTTATGATGGGGATTCATTCAGTTCCCCACTATTGGGAAGCTTTAGTGGAAAGACTGAACCCGAAAAATTAGTAGCCTCCTCAGGACATATGTTAATTTTATTATATAGTGACACCAATTATGTTTTAAAAGGTTTTAGGGCTGAATACTTTATAACAGACTGTCCTAACAATTGTTCACAACATGGAGTTTGCTATAAAAATGCTTGTGTATGTGAAAGTGACTGGGGAGATATAGACTGTTCTAAACGACTGTGCCCTGAGGATTGTGGAAAGCATGAAGGTCATGGTAAATGTGTGGGAGGTAGGTGTCAATGCAATACAGGATTCTCAGGGCAGTCCTGTAGTCTCAATGATGTGGATAGTAAAATGGGAAACCAGTGGCATTGGTTAACTCACTCAAGAGGAGGTCTAACACCAAGAGCAGCACATTCTGCAGTTTATGTTGAATCAACTGATTCTCTCTATGTTTTTGGAGGATATAATCTCAATAAAGTATTGAGTAACTTAGAATTATACAATTTTCAAAATAGCACTTGGACTGATGAAAACGGTCATGTATTAATTGATAAAAGCTTGGTCAATTATTTAGAACCAAGTGCAATAGCACACTTTGTAAGAGAATCTGGGCCTGGCTGGGAACAGAAGTTTGGTTTACATGAAGGAAATTCTTTTTTAAAAAGTTTCTTGTTATCTCAACTGTCTGTCCATGACAATACTACATTTGCTAAAAGAAAACAGAGGCACTCAGAATCAAATGAAAAATTGTCTCCATTACCACGATATGGTCATGCTGCCTGTGAAACAAGCCACGGTTTTGTTATTTATGGAGGAAAATTAGAAAATAATAGCTTATCAAATGAATTATGGCAGTACAACATTAATAGACGTAAATGGGAATTAAGAGCACACCTGTCTGATTTCAAACCACCACCATTAGCACGTCACACATTAACATATGCAAATGGTGTAATTTATCTTTTTGGTGGAAGCACAGAAACCGGCGACTTTTCATCAAAACTGTATAGCATTACATTATCCCCAACACGAGATGAGGTGTGGAAAGAAATACGACCCAGGGGTGGAAAACAGTTAGATATAAGGATAATTGCCCATGCAACAGTATATTACAGTATCACTAATTCTCTTCTTGTCTATGGAGGCATTACTGCAGGTGTTGCAAGGTTTTCTAAGCTCTCTGATCATATGTATATGTTTCAATTAGATAAGCGACAATGGAGTGAAATTCATTATACACGAGAGCACCTCAGAGAAAAATATGTACCTAGAGAAAGGGCTTTTCATACAGCTAATATAATGGGTAACTATTTAGTTATATTTGGTGGTTATACACATAGACACAATAAAGAAGAAATCTGTTATGATAATCAGATGTACTTGTATCATTTGGGCTGTCACATATGGGTTAATCCAGAAATATTAGGAAGACGAAATAATTCATATTATCCAAAAAAGCAAGGAGTTTTCGCGCATGCTTCTGCAGTACGACATAAGAATGTTTTGTTACTAGTAGGAGGCTATCATGGAAATGTAAATGGAGATCTCTTAGCCTATGTAGTTCCTCCAATGATTACTACAAAAAAAGAAGAGCAATACGATCCAGAAGGTGCTTGCTTTTGGCATAAGAATTATGCAGAATGCTCTGCTGATCCTGAATGTGGATGGTGTTCTGCTGATGAAATATGCTATGGTCGCACCATAGGTTTGTAATTTACATATTACTAAACTATTTATATTTTCGGCGGTTACATTGTAATAATTCATTGTTACTATAATACTGTTTTTTATCACTTTATTAAACAAATTATTACCTGAATATACATACTTCCGAGAAAAATTGTGATTATGAAACGATTCAAATAGAATAAATTTCTTGAATTCTTAAATTCTATTTGAATTACTTAATAATGACAATCATTACGAAAGTAGACATGCAATAATTTCATTAATAAAGTAATAAAAAACATTAGTACATTAGTATTACTTAATTTATACTTTTCATACTTTATAAAATCATTTTTATCGAAAATTTAAAAGAAAAAAGAAAAAAACCAGTTACCAATTAAGTAAAACGTATTAATATTTGAAATCAATGTAATCGTCAGTTTATTATTGTAATGTATTTTCTTTGTAAGTAAAAGATTATTTTTCGAAATCCTGCCCTAGTTAGTCACGTTATTAGAATTAAATAGATAATAATTTTGTTTTAATTATGTGATTATTGGCTAATCGTTACTACACAAGGGTATTTGATATTTAAATTGATGATTAATTTATAATAACATTGCCACTAAATATTCGTCTAAATATTAAGTTCTGGACTTTCCTATGATACAAGAATTTTTAAATAAGTATTCTTTTTTCTTGCTGCAGTAAATACTAAATTGTAATTTAACAAATATTTTACAACAATTTCAGTCCCGCTTATTTCTTTATGAAATGAAAATACACTTTTTAATTATTACAAAAATTTAAACATAACTTTTTACCCTTTTGCTAGTGCGTTCTTGACGTGTTTAACGTACATAATATTATATAATATTCACATACAGTTTGGTTTTTAGTAAATAAGTTGTAACAATGTTTTAGGTGCAAACTGTACTACCAATTTACAAACAACTCGTTGTCCTGGAATTTGTCCTGCCCTTGGTGACTGTCATTCTTGCCTAATTCAAGGACCTATACAGCCAAAACGAAAGGCGCTGATGAGTTCAGCGGCATACAAATTAGGGCTGAGCGAATGTATATGGTGCGTACAAAATGCTAGGTGTCACTACAAAGATGATAATTACGGTGTTTGTGGTTTATGGGAGGATGATCTTAATCAAATTAGAGGTTGGTGGGGTACAAAAGGAACAGAAATCTTAATACCTGAAAAATGTCGAGAGATGGATAGACGACCTGGTCTTACTTTCGTTCGTTATTATCATCCTGTAAATATTTCCCAGCCGGACTTTGTAACAATTATTAATGCGACAATAGTAAGTATATTACAACAAGAGACACATAAAATTAACTAAGTGAATGAGAAATTAGGATTCTGCAATTAGCGGCATTTAACACATAGTTTAGTTCTTACCACTACACAGTTTGCTACTTACCACTTTCGTTTTATTTTAGTTTTTTATACTATTTATTTACTAGTAACTGTTAAATAAATAATAGGAATGGGCTAAAAAATTACATTTTTATACTTTTTTTTACTCATTCTTAACTTTGACCGCGTTAAAATTAAATAAGGGATATTTTCGTTTATTTCATTATTCATAAGTTTACAAAAGTGGAATTTAAATCTTTTATATGCAGTTGTATTTTACTTTTTATAAATGTTCTTTTCTCCGTACAAAATTTTAATATTTTCTTTACTTTTTTTTATAATTCCCTGGAATGTTTCTTGTTAGTGTATAATCATGATGGACCCATATTCCACCTCTTTGCGTTTTCTTTGTGAAAATAAGCGGTATGTTGTTTTGTATGTAATATTTTGCTGTAGCTGCTAATACTGCATTCGTACTTGCAATAGATAAATACATGCCTACTGTTCTTTTCCAATATAAAGGAATCATACTTGCAGCCAGAGCTCCCACGATCCAGTTTAATCTATCATCTATACCGCGTTCTTTTGCTAAATGATTAGTTACTGCTACAAATGTGGCAGGTAAAGCAACAAATGGTAAAAATATGTGAGAGAACCTGTAAATAAAAGGAATGTTTATTTTTTTGTGGAACTCATAGGAGTTAAAAAATTATAAAAAAAGTATTCAACGTAGGAAGTTTTGCATGACATTCGCACAACTGAAGCTTTATTTGGCGAATAACAGCTCCAATATTTTATTGAGGGCTCAAATTGTTGAGGGACAATAGCGTAGAATGTTTTCTTCAGTTAACTAAAGAAAATAGTCTAGGAGAGTTAAATCGCACGATCAATTCATGTCCGAGATATGCGAAATTGCTGCGCGAGACAGTTTGTTTCACGGCTTTTGGAGCTCATAAGCGTCATTCTGCTTGAAATAAAGATTGTACGTCCATATTGTCCAACATAAGCCATAAATAGTTATTTAGCATCATGCGGTAGTGATTCCTATTGATTGTAATTGTATTAGTACCCTCTCATTGTTCTTTTAAAAAAGTAAGGTTCGATGACACCGCTCATCCAAAAAACTATCAAATAATAATTCTTTGGGGGGTATGGAGATTTTCCGACTATTGTTCTAAGATTATCTGAGCCCCGCATGCGGTAGTTCTATCTATTGAAGAATCTACTGAGATGGATGTATGCTTCGTCCTAGGGGAATGTGAATTTATAGGTCTGCAGCTTACTTTTCGTTATATGACAAAAGGAGGCTGAGAATCGGCCGGCCACATCGCAGATTTATACGGTCATATAACGATACACATAAGGCGTTTCGTTTAAATTTCAGACATTTTAAAAATTTAAGAAAAACAAAAAGATACTAATAAAAAAAATTGTGGTTCCATTTCTCATGCTGTTAGTTAGGTGTCGGTGAATTTATTTATGGTCCATATTTCAGCTTACAGTTAAAATAAAAATAAAAACGGATGGTAACACTAAAATATTAATCAAAGAAATATATTTTTAGTTGATGATAATTGATTTAGGTAACACAAACGAATACATTCCATACAGGAAGAACAACTGTAATACGTTCATTTTGGTCGTTCATAAATTAAATAAAATATATTCTTTGGAAATGAAAACACTTTTTTGCGTGTTCTTTTGAATAGTTTATAGTTGCTCTTTCTACCGGCTACTATTCACCATTTACCTGTTTAGCATGATAGCTAATGCGACTAAAATAAATAATTTAACAAATTCAGAGGTGTATCTGTTCACTAACAAAACAACAACACTCATTAGATACATAAAACAAAGTTAATACCAATATAAAAATTCGTGGAATCGTTGATAATCAGAAAATTACAATTAATCGCATGTTATTTCCTGAGAAAAAGCGCATCAACACTTCCGCTGTGTTTATTAACAAAACAAGTGCTTAGTAGTTATATCACCAAAAATAAGCTACTAGTGGTTACTACACATCGCGCCAGATATGTTTTTTCTATATAGAAAGAGTTAAAAGAAAATCGATATGTCAACATTTGTATGAGAAGAATTATGAAAAATGATAATAATAAAAATAGTAATTAAGTGGTGAGCACGTAGCGTGTAATCGATATGTACAAATGAAATGGTTGACTTCCATTGCCAAGCACAGTGTCTTACCATGCTTGGCTCGCTGTCATTGTTTTGTAAACTGCAGTTGTTGGGGGAGGGGTGGTTGCGACTGTGAAACCTTAGTTTTATATTTATCGCTAAATCTTGAAAAGAAAGAATGGCTGCTCTTCTAAAATTTGATTGGTCAACGCATTAAAGTATATGATTTAAGAAATATTATCGTTATAGTTAAATTTTAACAAGTACCTAGCAATAGTTTTCCCAACAGTTGCAGGTTGTGAGTACGCTAGTATATCCCATGTTGCAACTAACGCGCCAGCCGGTATTGCATATTTAGTTACACTCCATATTTTTTTATCTATGTCTTTTCCATCTGGTGTATCTAAATATTTGTAACAATGATATTCTCTAAGTGTATCTTCCATTATTATAAATTATTTACTAATAACAGAAACTATTAATGTAACATAACGTGGATGCAATAACATTGACAAATGGAACGGCAGGTAGTCATAGTAACAGAGAAACTTTAAATAGGCATAAACGAAGTAATTTAAATGTAATTTGATTTCTTGAAAATAACAATTTTAACTTTATATCTGGCAATACTTTTTTTATTTATTCAATATTAGGTACTAAATGTAATACAGATTATCATATGTACGTATATGTATTTCTATTTATATGACGTAGTTTCTTAGAGAAGTATATAAGAATATGCGTTTTCATTATATACAGGGGCCATTCAACTATTACTAGCACTACAGGGCTGATGGGGTTTCTTGCTTCGCTTATTTTTGATGACATGAAGGTTGGGGGGGGGTCTGGCTGATGATTATGTCAGTAGTATTTATTTCCTTACCTTTTCGTATTTTCTATAAAATTTAGTACATTTTGGTTTGAACACATATGGCAACCCTACTTGTCTATGATTGAAAACGAAAAAGATTGTCAGGTATTTCCGAAAATAATGGAAACGTTTCCTCGCTTAGAACCGAGTATGGGGAATTACCGCGCGCTATTCACTTGTCTAAATTTCTTCCGCCAATCTATTGTCTCGTTTCGGTACGATTTGACCTGTTGTAAGTCAATGTTTGTTCTACCATTGATCCACTTTCGCCAAAGTTGAATGGTTTAAAATGTCGTTTCAAATATACAAATCCATATTATACTAAAAATTATTCGGAAGTTTCAAATAATGTCATACAAATACAAAATGTGCAGAAGTTAGTTAACGAAGTGTGACGTAATTATCAGTTACAAGGAAAGTCCGACAAGGAACTTGATGTTATTGTGTCTTAAGAGAATTCAAGAAGAATTACAAGCAGCGACTAGGAATAATTCCAGTCTACTAAGCCTTTTTTCCAAGGCGAGTTTAGTCTTAGATGTCCCTAATTCATAAAGGATACTTAAGATTATTTGTCGGCTATTGTCGGGTTGTTTTTTACACATTATAATGAGTGTACATATAAATTACTGATTTTGTCGACGCAAAATAATATTTCGCCGTTTCATATATTTGATCGGATAAATGTACGAAACTGGGAGGGGGGTAAGAGTTTTGCTTACTGACGAGGGGGGGAGGGGGTTGATAACTGCAAAAAATCTGCTTACGTAATACTTACGTAAACGACCCTACAATGCATGATTTAGTTAGCCTTAATAAGGGAGTTTTTAATACCCTATAAACTAAAATATTAATAATTTTCATTAATCCAATTTTTAATTTTTTTAGTTTGTGAAACATTACTAGATGGTAGGTCGTTTAAACTACTAGGGAGTTGATTAAATATCAATGCGGTAACGTATAGACTTTTTTGCCTATTTCCAATGTTACTTTAAGGAGTATCAATTACTTATGTCGGGTTATATAATTCTTTTTTTTATCAAGTATACCAATGTTAATACTTCCACACGAAAATAAAAATGTAGATTACTATGGAGAAGATGATAAGCTGATAAGTAATAAGGGTAATTGTTAAAGGTTATTATAAAAAAAGCTCGTACAATAATGATAGAAATAAGTCCAATTTAGGTACTCGATGATTTTGAGGGTCGCTGAATACGAATATGCATTAGGTGACGGCCTCTTAGGTACATAGGGCCCAGGCCTACCGTCATACATTTGTCTCCAGGAGTTTTAAATTCATTAAAAATTAATGGAAATAATTTACATGGAGGCTTTGAATTTGCTTGACTTGAATTTAGCCCTCTGTTGCTAGTGGTGGACCAGACGAAATTTTGCTTTCGCGCTTATGACAATTAACTCGTCAAGAATGCGAGTTTGTTTAATGTAAGTATATGATTGGATAAGTCGGCGATTAGGCTTCATGCTTTATATTGTCGAATTTATAATAATAATGTTTTTAAGCAATGAGGTGGAACCCTACCATACACAGACTTTGTCAGGAATCCGTATAGATGTTAGCCCTTCCCGATTTTTTTTTAAAGTTGTGTTAAGTTATAGTTACGGAAGTGAGATGTTTTAGTTTTAGGATAATAATGATTAAGAAGGTTGTTTTGGTTAGATTTTATATTAGAGGATGCAAAAGAACTAACGTTTTATAGTTTTCATTTTCCAGTTATTTCTATCAATTGAATATCTTAGGTATACTTACCATTACAAAAAATATGAAAAACTAAAGGTGCCAGAAGTCCTAACTATTAACATTACATTATTTCATCGTTCTACTTGACCAGTTTTTTGTTGGCGTTCATCACGGTTGCTGATGAGAACGAGTAAATATAAAATCGTAATGTACACCTTCTGTTTTCTGAATGTGTTATGAAATTAAATTTTTAAAAATAGTTAATATACACAAGAAAGTTTATGTCATACATTTATTAAGGACTATGAAAATTATCAAAGGGAATGTTTTATTTTTAAAATGTTTTACATCTTTGTTACTATCGCTTTCACGTCAGTGAATAAAATGCCCAGTTTATATTGCATTACCGTTACTTAATTATAAATGTATGTAATTAGTAGATACGTTTTCTGGAAGCAATAATAATTTTTTAATAAAACTTTACAGGTTGATTTTACTGGTCCTCTGTGGATCCGCGCTGATCAAAATTCTACGGTCGAAATGGTAGCTCGTCTGCTGGGTTTTTTAAGACCTCAAATAGAATCACGTGAACACTTGAAAGCTTGCGCTAGTTACAGTTCGGCGTGGTTGACATTAAATAATAAGCCTATTTTTAATATAAGTTCAGAACATAAGCAATGTCAACAGCAGTTATGGCCAGAGAAAGAATTTTCAGAAAGAGTTGCGGTTGATTTTAGAGCTGAAAAGATACGAACGGAATTGAATCCATACAGTCAGTATCAAAGTCGAATGGAATTGCTTCATTTTAAAGACAAGGAAACTTCGAAGGTTAATTTGTTTATTTCTATAACATAGCAGTTGTAATTTTCAAATAATTGTTTTGTAGGTGTTTACATTTGAGTACTTGGAGCCTTTTTCAAACGGTACCTGTTCTCAGTATAAAAATTGTTTACATTGTCTTACCGATTCCATGTGCGGATGGTGCGAAGCAAGAGGGCAGTGCATATCTCGTGATGAAAATGAAAACATAACGTGCACTTCTGAAGATGGTGATTGGTATTTTCTCACATTACAACCCAATCTTTGTTCTAATTGTTCGAATTATATATCCTGTAGCAGTTGTGTGGAAACAGGTAAACTATGCATTGTAGTAGCAGTAGTAGTCTTTTACTTACTCATTTACATGAATCATAAATTTGGAATGCTTTAACATCGTAACATAAAGGTTACGAGAATTCTTTGTGCCATAGTGAAAGTATGGGTATTATGGAGCTTATAATAATATAAAAATGTTCACTTTTGTATTTTATACCTTTAATAGTTGGATTTATAGTACCTACTATTCCACAAGCATTTTTAATTATGTGACTAAAGAATTTTATAAATATGCAAATAAGTAGGCACAGAAATGTGTGAATACTAGTAATAATCTCGTATCCAAAAAGAACATTCATGCATGATATAAAGCTATAAATTCTCAAACAATAATATGTTATTTTATTGTAGGTTTGTGTGAATGGTGGGTGGACGAATCTCGTTGTTTTCGTATCGGTCGAAACTCAAAAGCTGTTAAGAACTTTGATGAATGTCCGGCTCCATGTTACAAAAGGTCAAATTGTTCGACCTGTATTGAAGAAAGAGGTCGTTGTGTGTGGTGCGAAGCAACCCAACAATGCTTTAGTTTTTCTGTGTATACTAGCGAATATCAGTTCGGTATTTGTCGCGAATGGCTTGATCAACCATTCCCTCAAATTTCTGCTCACGATCCAAATCATAATGATGTAGATTCAATAAGACAACAAGACAAGTGTAAGTCGTGTGCCCACTTTCAAAATTGCTCATCTTGTTTAGGATCTTTATCTTGTGGTTGGTGCTACAATCTTTCTAACCCTATATCTGGTAAGAAAATGAATTGATTTATTTTTAAAATTGTAATACATAAATATACATATATATATGATTTTAGGTGTATGCGCCAAAGGTGACTTTAACACACCTGCATTAAATTGTTCTGATCTTTTGAAAGTTTCTGATGCCGGATGGGCTTATGCTCAGTGTCCAGATGTGGACGAATGTGGCCTAGGCATTCACGACTGTCACCCAAACGCTACTTGTACCAACACAGACGGCTCTTTCAGCTGTCATTGCAAACGAGGATTCATCGGCAACGGTCGAACGTCTTGTGTTCGTACCTGCATTAATGTATGCGTACATGGTGTTTGCGAAGGAGAGGGTGAAGAATATGCATGTAAATGTAAACTGGGCTGGACGGGAGATGATTGTTCAATTAATTGCGGGTGTAACAATCATTCGAGCTGCCCAAGAGGTGTCGGTATTTGTGAAGATTGTCAAGACTGGACGATGGGGGAATTTTGTGACTACTGCAAACCTGGAAGCTATGGAAACGCGACATCTATGGCAGGTAATTTTACGTATTTTTGCAAATTAATTTAAGAAGTTGTTGGCAGAAATAGTCACATAACGAAAAAGCGTTATGCTCTCTCCGTGCGACTCTCAGTGACTATCTTTCTATTATATAGGCGAGTGCGCAGCCGGTCTCTTTCTCTCTTTCGCTGTCTCTCTTTCTCTCATCTCTCTCTTCCTATAAAACCCCCAATAAAGAACTATTTTGCTTGTAATTTTCAATAAATGTATATTTTTTAAAATAGTCAATGAAACTTTTTGATTTGACTATCTTAAATTATTTGCATTGAAAAAAATGATAAAATGTACTTCAGGTTTTATTTCAAATTATATTTGGAATATCTTTAAGACGAAAACAGCTAAACTTTAAAGGCACAATGAAAATATTGAATATGACATAAAGGCATATAAAAAAAAGTTTACGGGCTAATTATTGGATACATTTAGTTAATCTATTAAATAACATTCTTCGTGAGGTTATACATACTACATTTTGTAAATTGTATTATATGTAATTTTGATTTTAATAGCTAGGTACAGTTAATTAATTTCAACATTTCCGAGTAAAAGTTAATTTTACTGTGATTTTTCAATACAGTAGGTACATTACCTAATTACTGCATTTTTTAAAAGTTTTCAAATTTTTAATGTGCAGCTATTATTATTAAACTACTTAGGATGTATTTGTCCAATTCTAATTAAGGTCATTTTTTAAACTTAAGTTAAAAATAATTGTATTTTATTTGATTAGGTTGCCGTAAATGTGATTGTAATGGCCACGGTATTGAAGAATTGGGCGAATGTGATATCGACACTGGAGAGTGTTATTGTAAGGATAATACTGAAGGAAAACATTGTGAAAAATGCAAATTAAATTATTACGGTGATCCCCGCAACAATGGCCAGTGTTATTATCAATGCGAAGCTCGTGGTATGCTGACAAGTTTAGAAGGACAAGGTATCAGTTCCAGGCAGTCTTATAGTGCTCCATGGGGAGGACCACCCACCAGAGAGTGTCTTTGGATTATTAGTCCAGAGGTTGATTACGGATCAGTGATTATACAACTTCAGGTTTGATATTGTGCTCTCTTTACATAAAATTTAATAAAATCATAAAGATAGTTTCTACAATGATTTTTTTTTATAGATAAATGCCACAGAAATGAACGTATCATGTGGTGACAATGCTATTTATGTTTATGATGCTCTGCCAGAACTTGTGGATGTGAGCAGCCAAAGTGCTCTTTCAGCAGTATTTTGTTCCCAAGAAGCTCTCCCAACTGCTGTTGTAGAATCTCGAACAGGTATAAAATCACATTAAAAATAGTACTTTTATGACAATTATAATCGCATCTTTTATTGCAGGTCATTTGACTGTTTACTACAAACAAGGTCACCACAGAGAGGGCTTTAATGCAGCTTACAGAATTCTAACATGCGAAAATTGTACTGAACCGCGAAAATGTGAAAAAGGCCAATGCGTGTGCGATGAAAATTTTGTAGGACCTAACTGCGAAGATCCCCTTTGTCCTAATAACTGTAGTTATACTTTGGGTCAGGGACAATGCGACAAAGCATATGGGAGGTGTATCTGTTCACCAGGATGGCGAGGTCCGTCGTGTATGACTAAGTAAGTCCGTCTTTATAAACTTTAATATACTTTACAATACAAGCGCTCAGATAACGAACATTTTTTCTTAAAATTGTTTAAAATTTCCAAAGAATATTGTACTTAAAAATAATATTTCACCGTAATTTTTAAACAAAGAACCTTATAGGTTCAGGCAATTTTTCTTTTATGTTCCTTTTTTTTGTAGTGCTTTTACTATATCAAATAAAAATACAGTCGAACTTCTGCAACTCGAGATCATGTCTAATTCTCGTATTATTTTGTTTCCTTGACAATTGTTTTATATTTATTCCAAACTCTTTAGTTCGAATTTATTCATCTCTCTAACTCGAGATTCAAGTGCGAATTTTACATTATGAATTGTCTCTTTAATTTGTATTTCTATTAATATGTATACTTTGGAATACTAATCAGCCGTAGCGATACTCATAAACGTAAATAACTAAAATAATATTTGTAAGCTATAATTTTAAATGGACACTGACTGATTTTTGTCTCTCAGTCCATACCGTGTTTTTGTTGTAAGGGTTAGCGGTGGACTTAACAACAGCAGTATGCGTAGAAACAATGTCTTTGAAACAAAAATGGAGATGATAAAATGTAAGACCCTGAACTGATAAGGGTGAATAAGGCTTGTATTTATTGTAAGACCACATCGACGTTTTGCCCCAGAAGAGGGGCTTTCTGCTGGTAGATTGTCCGTTGTTTATTATTTTATTTGTACAATCATGTTATCTTTTTAATTTAAGTGCATTTTTGATTATTTCTTTTATTTATACTTATGTTTTGTGTATTAACGTCTCACTGAAAAATTATTGCTCCTTTGTATACACTGAATTAATTGGAACTATTTTCTACATGACATAAAAACCTACCTTAAGAAACCCGTCTGAGGCGAAACGTCGATGTGGTTTTACAATAAATAAAAGCCATATTGACCATTATCACCTATGAACTTTACATATTACAACTGAAGAGAAAGAAATTGTATTGTTAAGATGATAAAGCCACAAAATTTTGTCTAATATAACAAATATAATACGCTTAAGAATGACAACTGTTAGACAGTAAGTAAAAATCCGCGCTAGGCGTGCATAGCGGAATTCGTACGGATTTTTACTTACTGTCTCTACCGGTTGACCTGCTTAAGAATGTTATGCTTGTTAGAGTTGTACCTAATGTTAATAAATTTGCTTGATGAGGTAAAAGCTTAATATCAAATTTATAAAAACGGTTCAAAATGTTTTAATTACTGTACAATTGTAATACATAAAATGAAAGAAGTACAAATGTAGATGTTAGTAACGGTTGGAAATATATTTTTTAATAAATTAGCCAACCTGGTTAATCATTGATGAGCATTAACACAGATGCTAACTCATGTACACTGTTTTTAATTCTAATGGCAAACTATTTCCGTGTTGGTCCAAGAAACTTATCATGTGATTTAGGCATTTGCGATCGGTGTCAGATAGAAAAAGAAGAATTATGTTGAATCGGGGAACTCTTGTCATGTTTGTTAGGATTTTTTTAAGATTTTCAATTTCTGCTGGAACGGTAAAGTGTATGAATAAGCAATTCACCATTTCACTAAACATTTTGCTATCTAATTTTATCCCAATAACTGAAAAAAAGTTAAATAGTTAATGGTAAAGGGGAAAGGAAAATCATTATTTTTACTTAAATATTAATCTAGATTCCGCTTTTTGAATGTACCGAAATAAGCGGTTAGTTAGCATTTATTTGGGTTTTCCAATATCGATAAAAAAAGTAGGGAGACTGAAAGATCAGTGAATGAGTGTTATGAGGATTTGATAAACATATTTAGATTTTTTATCCTGTTCCTTAACACTTATTGGCTGCTCTCAACCTCTCTAGTTTTTGTTTGACCACACAATATTGACGAGCTACTTATTTCGATACTATGAATGAGTTTAAAAACTAATTTTATTATTTATAACTGTATACCTTCTGGCAGCCTGTCCAAGTTCATATTTCGTAATATGTCTGCTTTTCTTTTATATGTTGTGTCGTTACTGTACAATAGCCATTCCTTCAAGAAATTAAATGGTCGATTCAGTTCTCCCTGTTCGGGAATAACATCCATTGCTTGGTTAAAAGGCTCTCCCTTTGAACAAGGATCTTGTAAAGCAGGATTAATCTGTAAAAAAAAACTATTTAACAAGGGAATCCTCATATTGTTAAAGATTATACTTTAGGTATTATTTTCATTTCTACATGTTTATTTGATGCATGTTTTTCTTTTGTACTCTTCTCTTCCATGTGTTTTTGATTTACTTGTTTAAAATGTTGGTTATTATTAGTTTCGTTTTTATTACAAACGGAAACATTTATTTTATCGCATTTTGATATAGATTTCTTAATAATATGTTTGCTTATTTTTTTAGTTATTGGAGATACTATCGTCTTTTTATCTGTAGATGTAGAAAATACCGCTTTATTAACGGTGGTTGCCTTTACATTTTTTGTAGTCGGCGTAATATCATCGTCAGATGAAATGTCGATAGTAGTTGAAAAAAGAGGGCCAATTGTAGAATTCAAAATTCGACACTTTTTTTCTCGAAATTCTTCCCAATTGTTTGCACGTATTTCCTCAAAAAATGGTGGTGACATTTTGGATGTTCCTGGAATTGGTACTAGTTCGTAATATCTGTAGGATTTAAGAACACTTCGGGGTGCTTGTTTTGGTTTGATAGTTTTTGGTGAACTCGGTTCTTCCAATTCGTCACAGATAATTGCTTTAAGATCATTTTCCTCTTCTACTTCTTGAATTTGTAGCCGTGTCGTTGCCTTTATTGAAATTCCACACTTTTTTCGAAGTGTGTTGAGTAATTGTTGGCCAATTATATTATTTGGTTCTAAATGTATTACCCTATCAGCATATTCGAGGGCCTTTTTGAACTGTTTTTGCGCTTCCAAGCATTGAGCTATTCGAAGGTGAGCCTTGACATTTAAAGGTTCCAATTTTAGTGCCATTTTGCAATCAGCTATTGCATCGTCATACTTTTTCAGCTTAATAAATGTAATAGCTCGGTTTGTATATGCAGCTGCAGTTGATTTACAACTGAGACTATTTGTGTAATAATGCAAGGCTTCCTGATAATCACCTTGTTTAAAGAACTCATTGCCTTTTTCTCGTTCTCTATTTGCTTGTAGTGAAATTTCAGCCTGCGTTTGAAAATTGCTAAATCTCACAGTCTTTTTTTCTCTTTCTTTCATTTTTTTTGTGATTTCTTTAGTTGTATGTGTTTCTTCGACATCCATTTTAATAAGCTCCACATCGGGATCATACTTATCCCAGGCTGCATAATCTGTGGACGCTATTCGTTTTCCATTATTGGGGGCTGGACTTTGAGATATTTTTTTATCGGATCTAATTTCGGTTATTTCGTCTGTAATAGATTTATTAGACTTCATAAGTTTTAATTCCGTGTCGTTTTGATTCACTACCTTCAACCAGTCGTCCAGATCCGTAGTAAGTTTAGTAACTTCCTCCTTTTCCAAATCTTTTTTTGATACTGCTGGTGTTACAACACGTAACAATTTACTTGATGGGTTAATTAATTTTAGTCTCTCTTCTGTAGCTTGGACAAGTTGAGGATAATATCCTTCTTCTCCCGACCGTAATATTTTCAATATCTTTTCTAAAGTTTTACCATTCGTGCACTTATTAACATATTCAAAGTCTAAATAATAATCTGGAATATTGTATCTCACTGAAAGAGGTACTTTCTTATCGCTTTTATATGATGTTTTCCCCTGTAATTCAACCATTTTCAATTTTTTTCTTATAATATCTGACAGATTGTCAAAATGGAAGTGTGTTGATGCAAATGTTCACAATTTCTGTTCCAATCTATTTGTTGGTAACTTAGTAATGGTAATTATTGACAAAACATTTGGAATTTTCCAGGCCTACTTGTTTATGGCAACTAAGCGTTACTAAGCTTTTTACAATTTAAATAATCATTAAGAAACTTATGGTTTAAATGTTCAGGTGTTGATTTCGCTAATAATAATTAATTATTATTGTTGTTGGTGGTTAGAAATGTGAAGATGCGTAAATAACATTATTTTATTTCCGTGAAAACTACTTATCCCTACTTGAACGTTACTAATCGTTAATAAGTTGCGCGATGATTTTTTCCTTTAAATTCTTCAACAAATTGACAGCTTATATAATTTATGTTTTTTATTATTGTTGTAGACTTTTGATACCTTTTTATTATTTAAGACAAAATTACGTTGACACATCAACACGATCATGATCATAAAATACGTCACTCAAAATTTTACTTTTTTGGATGCCTCCCTCCCACAAAAGGTAGCCAACCCCCCGGAAAACGATTTTTTATAATTAAAAATTGCATTGAGAATGACTTTCTATCGTAATGAAAAATTTTAAGAACTGCCGAGTTAAGAAATATTGAAATAAAATTGGTAAACTGCGAACGTTACATTTGCTTAGACCCCTTATAATTGTTTTCAGTTCTAGGAAGAAAGTTACACTGAACACTTATATTGTCGAGACTCCTGATTTTTGCAACATTTTGAGCATGCTCAACTTCTCGTACAAGCAATTCGTACCTTTCCTCAGACAGTAATATAGATCTATCGTCACAACTATCAATAATTGGTTGTACTTTATCATAAAAAATTTCTTTCGCTGATTTATCAGACATTTTAATGAAAGTGTAACTTTTCAAACGACTTTAGTGTTGTTTAGTCAATGACAGACTGATCTTCTCGCTACACTGACGAGAACTGTACTGATTTTTCATGAAGTCAAGTTAGTTATTATATACTCAAACTACTAAGTGTTCAGTGTAACTTTCTTCCTAGAAATTATTTATAACTGTATACCTTCTGGCAGCCTGTCCAAGTTCATATTTCGTAATATGTCTGCTTTTCTTTTATATGTTGTGTCGTTACTGTACAATAGCCATTCCTTCAAGAAATTAAATGGTCGATTCAGTTCTCCCTGTTCGGGAATAACATCCATTGCTTGGTTAAAAGGCTCTCCCTTTGAACAAGGATCTTGTAAAGCAGGATTAATCTGTAAAAAAANTGTACGCAGGTAGAAAGCGGCAAATAATACAAGTCGAACATTAAGAACGCGTTGTGAGCGTTCAACAACTGACAAAACGCGTTCCGGCTGTTTAACAGTTACCAGAACGTGTTGCGAGCGTTTAAAAACAGCCAAAACACGTTCTGAGCGTTCGAAGGCAGCCAGAACGCGATGTGGCCGTTTTTTTCCGGCCACTGAGCGTTTTCGGTCTTCGGGCCTAACATGTACACCGCTGCAACAACTGTAGCTAGGGCGCTCACGGTACCGACGAAATAGCTACTGTGAGATTCCATCAAATATCCGTTTCAATTGAAACTCTGTTTTATTATAATTATTTATGTATTGATATCAAATTGATATAGATTAACTGCGTAGTTTTTGCTGAATAGGAATAAATACATTTGAATTTTATTGTAATAATGTATGTATAATGGCATTTTTATAAGATTGCGTGTGAACCAATTATTTATTTAGGACATGTATTCTCATTCGTATTACTTTATATTACGATATGTAAATAGGTGAAACGTATGCCATAAACATATCAAGGTAGTCATGACACGTTTAAAATATATGAAATTTTACCATTTACATAAAAAACAATACTTATTGCAGGTTAACTGGTAAAGAATTAGTGTTTACGGAACTTTTTAACACGGCTCATTTAACGGATCATTTGGAACATCTGCGTAAAACTCTTCCCCGCTTTGGCCATACCCTTTCGTCGGATCGTAGAGGTTCCCTATGGATGTTCGGGGGTTATTCCCTTTCACACGGTCCTTTAAACGACATTCGACTTTTCGATATTCGTAATAGTACTTGGATGCAAGTTACAATTGATACAACACCTGACGCCAAAATGCCCGAAGGGCGTTTCTTTCACGCTGCTGATGTTGTACATTCGAGACAATCAATTTTTGTATACGGTGGTCTTACGAAGTCTTCGAAATCATCAAACAGTCAAACTTTGGACGATTTTTGGGAGTTTAGTATTCAAACGCAACGGTGGTCAATGATAGAGAAAAACGATAAATGGCCACCTCCAGTCGCAGGACATACTTTTACGTTTTACCGTAACGCTTCCTATGAAAGTTTGATTCTCATCGGTGGGGTCTCGCCTCAACATGGTTTTCTGAGCGAGGTGTGGGAGTTCCGATTGGATAAAGAACAGTGGCATTCATGGAGAACAAAAGGACCTAGTCCTATGGGAATATTTGCTCACAGCACTGTTTTCCATTCACAAAGCAATAGTTTATACGTCTTCGGAGGTTACGAATACATGGCACAACAATCCGTTCTGTCAAACAAACTGTATATGCTCAATTACGAATCTAAAACGTGGACGAATTTAAATTTATTTGGCTCATCTATTAATATCGTAAGTAAATTTTTCTGATATTAAAAGTAAATTTAATAAATTTTACTACAATCGTTTTCTAAAAAGAAAAAATATAAAATACCGTCCTCGTATAAAGCTGCTGTGCTAAAAGCTAAACAATGGTAACATTATAAAATGAAGCTGATTAAAAAAGAGTTTTCCGTATAAAATTGTTTGAAACTTTCAATTTTTAAACATCATTGGAGGACTGTCCTATGATATACAACTAGGCTGTTGTACCGGTCGATTACACCAATAATAATCAAACAATTTTATATACTCACGAACTGTATAAAATGACTATCCTTTTTGTGTCAAGCATTATCATTTTTGTTTAAACATTCACTGCATTCATTAAATTAGGTCCATATTGTCGCACACCGAAACAGCCAGTTTATGTTTGTTAAATTTTATTTTTATTTGAGTACCTCATTTTAGCCACGCCCAAGGTATTTCCACTCAGCAGTAACAACTGATACACACATGATAGTACTAGGGGGTCGATTATCACCGTGGAATGTTACAGACACAATGTATGCTTTTTCTTACAACTGTAATCAATGGATAAACTTTATTTCTGAAGGTAATCAATGGAGTATCTTTTCATTTCAGGCATTGTAGTCACTTATTTTGTTTATTGTAGGTATAGACAAAATTGGCCCGCTTCCTGGACAAATTTACGCTCAAGCAATGGCTATCGAACCGGATGGTGATGCTGCCTACGTTATAGGCGGTTGGGGAAGTGATTCGCAATTCTTCGTACTGAAAATAGAGTTTCCCAGCGATCTGTGTTCTCTTTGGAGTACCAGACACTATTGTCTTCAAGTTCCGGGTTGCGGGCACTGTTTTCTCAAGAAAGATGAGGAGAAAATATTGGAAATGTGCTACAATAATTTCAAAACACAATGTCCTATATCTAACTCTGTAACAGGTATTTTAAACATGTTTAAACAATATTTATGTTTCTATGTGATTTATTTTAACGTTATGATTTTTTTATCAGGAGTAGAAGTCCATGATAATAAGGGAAAAGTATGCGATGGCACCATTATATCAGGCGATTGTTTGTCTTTACATGACTGCACCAGTTGTGTACAAGTTCCAAATTGCTACTGGTGTGGTAATTTATGTATGACAAACAAAAGCTGTTCCGATGAAGCTGCCGATTCTCTTAAACAGTGTCCGTATAATGTTTGTTTGGCGGCTGATTGTATGCAATGTCAACAAATGTATGGTTGTGACTGGAGCTACTCTCGGCGTCTTTGTGTGCCAGGTTTGTTATTTTTTCATATTATTTACATTTTTAAGTTTAAACATTTTTCTACATCTTTAGAAATCATGTTATAGTAAGTTTAAAAACAAACTACTAGTACAATTGTTTTCGTTATTTTGAAAATTGGTTAAATTAATCGACAGTGTTACATTCTAATGTGGGATTTTGTGCGCAAACGAGAGATATTAAAACAAACAGAAATGTTCCGAGGTTCCTCCGATCCAGTAGCATCATTAATGTTAGTAGGACAAATACGTTCAGAAAAAAATAAATCTTTTTGTTCTCAATTTTTTATGTTTTGTTTACGACCGGTTTATCAGTACGTACCGATTTATTTCTGTTAATTATATTTAATAGTGCCAACAAAAAAATGATTTCAACTTCATTGAGGCACCGATTAATAATTAGTCCACTGGCAATATTATAAAAATGGGATAATATTTAGGTATATACATTTATGTATTTTTTTGTAGTTGAAAAAGAGATCTACGGAGCAAATACTTGTCCAGCATTGTGTTCTCATTATACTTCATGCAGTACATGTCTAAATGAAGCTGACTGTCGATGGTCAACACAACTTAACGAATGCTTATCTGCATCATATCAACAGATGTATTGTACCGGAGGAATTTGTGGTTTAGTTTTACACACAAGTGAAAAGGCATATTGCCCAGAACCATGTAACTCAATTACACAGTGTTCAAGATGCTTGAGACATGCTCACTGTGGTTGGTGTGCGCAAGATAACATCTCCGGAATTGGCGTGTGTACAGAAGGTTCCAATGATAGACCTATTTCCGGTACATGTAATGATGTCGTCAAGGAAGGAGCACAATTGGTAAGTTAATATTACAATTAGTTCAGTTGTTATGCTACTGTTTATGTTATTACTTGATTATCTGTTAAAGCTGTTTGAAATATATATCATACAAAAAAATAACAGTTAACACTAATTATTCAGAACAAAAAAAAATAAGTTATAAACATTTTTATTACTATCTAATATTTTAATAATGCGATTCATTTTTGTGTTTTGCATTAAATTTTAATTATTAATTTTACTCGTATTGTAATGGTATATCTTCCAATAATAATTGAAAAAATATAAAGTGGTTTAATTCATTTTTTATTACTGTTTGCTTTCCAGAATTCATCTTTACATTACGTTGAAAACATCACCTACACTTGGCATTACGTCAAGTGTCCACCGGAAAATGAATGTGATAATGGCCATCATACATGTAATCCAGATTCGGAGGTATGCATTGATTTAATTGAAGGATTCCAGTGTATCTGTGGGGAAGGTTACAATGCCACGGAAACTGGATGCAAACCTGTATGTTCATCAGGTATGAAAACATCTATTTTGTACAAATTTGATTAATTATCATTAGCGGGTGTTACATAATCGATTAACTTCATTTTTTCCCGCTTTATAGTTCTTAGTCTTGTTTGTATTGTTTGTGTAATGCTTTTTGTTATTGTCGCAACCACAAAAATATCAAAGAAAAAATTTGCAAAATTTTTGTTTGGAACGTGTTTTAGGTAAATAACAATAAACAGAAAACTAACTTATACAGTCACAAAACAGAATCAAACCTAAAAAATAAGTACTTAAAAATAATAATGATAATAATTCATATTTTCCTTTGTTTATATTTTGTGGCTGCAATTAGTTGGCTTTTCTTTGTGCAGGTTGTGTACGTGGCCAATGTGTGCAACCCAACGTTTGTCAGTGTGATTTCGGATATGTCGGAGCCAATTGTAGTATCCAGTGTCAGTGCAACGGTCATTCTAACTGTGAGGGCCCCGATAAACTTGATAAATGCATTCTTTGTCATAATAACACTTTGGTGAGTCCTTTAATGTTCCTTCCAACTAATATATTAGTTGTACATGCAATTCGAAATTCAAGTTAAAGCATTTGTCGCATTTAGTTCTTACTAACAATATTTCGGAATATCTAATTATATTGCATTTATTTTTGATTTATAACAGGGTGCACAATGCGAAAAATGTCAACCATTATATGTTGGCGATCCTACTAACGGTGGAAAATGCACATCTTGTTTAGAATATTGTCATGGACACAGTCCTATATGCGTCGATGATAACAGTACAGATCCAGAACCACCTGAAGACTTAGAACTCGAAGATGTTGCACGGTTTTTAAAAGAAGGACCTAAAGATTCGGCCAGATGTTTAAGATGTACAAATTATACGAAAGGCATAAGATGTGATGAATGTATTGAAGGTAATAATTTGTACAACATATCCTATTTTTACATTAATGTCTCTTAAAATTAAAGGAAACTTTAGAGGATCAGATGATCTTACTGATGCATGTAGAACATGCGAATGTAACGGTCATGGCGATGTATGCGATCCGGTTACTGGAGAAAATTGCAATTGTAAGAATAACACCGAAAGCGAAACATGTTCTAGTAGCACATCTGGACGAAATTCCGCCCAACCCTGCTGGATGCTGCAATGTTCCAAGTGTAAAGAAGGTTATCACGGCACCCCCAAAGCTGGACATCAGTGTTACAAAACAATGAGTATTCATACCAATCCAAAGATGTGTTTCGATGCAAAGCCGTTAGGTAAGTGTAATATGGCAATTTAAAACGTAAGTGCGTGTCAAATAAAATAAATAAATATAAATTCAAATAAAATTTAAGGTCGGTTCAGTAATTGTGGAGATTACTTACTGCTAACAATTTTTTATTACAATATCAGTAAAATAAAACTAAATAAAGCAAAAATTGAGAAAAACTGCAAGCCGTGGCTTCAGTATGACAAATGGATATCGTTAATCGTAGAAGGACCTTGTTATTAATTGTGTTAATTCCAAATAATGCCCACTGTTACAAACTAATCAAATTCAATTCAATTTTGGTGTTTACTTTCATCATCATAAGGTCGTCAATCCTAAGACTGGTTGGACACGCACCTCCACTGTTTCCTATCCTGAGCCAATTTCTCTAAAACTAGAATAGCCCACATCCTTAACTACTTGCGAACAGTAATCTAATCTAGGTCTACTTCTACCCCTCCTAACTCCCGTTTCTGCCTCTAATATGTCTCTGACGCGACTTTCAAGCTTGAGAAGGTGTCCTACTAACCTATCTCGCTTATTTCTTATTGACTTCCATAGAGTCTTCTGTTCTCCTATTCTTTCTAATACCTCTTCATTTCTAACCTTCTCTCTCCGGGTATCCTCATCATTCGCTTTAACACCACATTTCGAACGCTTCTAACCTTTTCTTATCCGCCGCACCCACCGTCCATGTTTCACACCCGTACAGCGCCGCGTTCCAAACATTCACCTTTAACCAACTTTTTCGAATTTCTAAATTAACCGTTCGTTCATAGAAGTGACTCCTTTTAATTGAAGATGACTCGACCCTGCGCTATCCTTTGCTTTATATCCCCACTACTCCTTCCATCCTGACTTATTTGATTTCGGAGATACCTAAAATAGGCCACACAAAAATAGTTTTATTACATTTATATAAAAACAAGATTGTTATTATTGAAGTAGATACTGACGTTTAAAAGTATTAATACATTATTCATATTTCTTTTCAGACGACTGTAAAACAAAACCTAAGCCTCTATATCCTGGAGAAATGGTCTTCTTCGTTGTGCAGCCTCATTTTTCGAATGTAGATATCCGTATAATAATAGATGTAACAAAAGGAGCATTGAATGTTTTTGTAAGTACACATGATGATACGTATGTAATTTATCCGAATACCAGTACTGGATGGTTGGATATTAAACTGGATTCGGTATACGGGTTCTGGGAAAATGGTTCGCAAAAGACTAGTGACATGTTTATTGAAAATGAAGCTACAGGGTTAAGGACTTATGTTACCGTTAAACAACCCAAGCCTGTGCTAGCAATAAGAAACGTAAGGGACAGACTTGTCATAACGTTACCAGAGGTAATTGCTATTATTTTACCGTTTACATAAATAAATGCGTTATCTTCTAAGTTATGCAATGTACAAACATGTTTTTTTCGTTAACTCAGCTGATATATTATTTGTACCTGCAATTGCTTTCCTAATGTTATTCATTTTGTTTTTTTTTTTTTTTGGAAATTGAAAACGCAAAAATATGTTTTTGTTTTAATTAATCTTGGTTGAGGATAAACATTTTTTTTAATTACAAATTTTCAAAACTAAATAAGCATTATGATGTTACTGCAGAGTAGGTCATTTTTATTTCTTATTGTATACTTTTTCTGGACTAAAGTTATTACTGTTTTACGTATTTTTTCTATTGCATTGTATATTTTTAGGAACACCACATCTTGAACCAAACGAGGTTCTATGTAATATTACAAGCATTGGATCCGCCTGAGAATGACGAAAAAGTATCCTACGGTCTCATATTTTTCCGTCAAGATCAGTTACATATTGACCTCTTCGTATTCTTTTCTGTTTTCTTCTCGTGTTTCTTCCTTTTTCTGGCCGCCTGTGTAGTTGCTTGGAAAGCAAAACAAGCAGCAGATGTGCGTCGAGCTCGGCAACGGCACGTAGTCGAAATGCTGCACATGGCTAAAAGACCATTCGCCGCAATTACACTCAATTTGACAGTAAAACCACCAAAACCTTCCAAATTGTCTTCGTGCGATTTACGGCCGATTGCCATCGAACCAACAAGTAAGTTAAGAAAATGGTCATTTTGCACGAATGAATTATACGCGCTTAAAAATTAATATTATGTTTTTTTATATAAGAACATTTCGTAATTGAATATTACTTATATTTTTTTAATTTGCAAAAATTATTTTAATAATTCCCATGCATGAACCTTCAAAGAAATACATTTAAGAGCAGTGCCACAAAAATAAGTTGCAATGCTGTTCAGAATTAGACCACAGTACACCACAAGAAAAAAAATAATTTCCAACCGGTTATAAATTTTCGAACAGTTTCATTTTGATGTATCCTGCTACTTTTTCCTTTACGAAAAAATACAGCTTGTTGGTAATAAATTTTCGTATACTCTTGAATTTAAGATATAGCGATTGGGGGACTCTACGGTTCACGCGTTATTTTGTAGAACACATATTTTTAATTTAATTGTCTTTTCATTAAACTGCAAAAGAAATGGTTGGTTATACTTTTTCAAGACATCATCACCATTTATACAAGTTTGGCAGCTGAATGCTTGAAAACGCCGCTTTGCCGAAAATTTTCGTAGAGGAAAAAGATGTAGGGCACGTCAGAATGAAGCTGTTTACAAGGTTTCAGCAAGTTGGTATTAATTCTTTTCTCTTGTGGCGTACTGTGGTGAGTACATTCAAAATCGATTTTATGAAGTTGCTATTTTCACCACTGGTTTTAGAATTATTAAATTTTTGACATTAAAACTATGATAATTAAATATTCTGCGTGTTCATGTGTGAATGATTACACTATATTTTCTATATATCATCAAAAAATGTTGATAAAATCGGCGATGGGGTAATTGTTACATATTTTTAATGTTATAATGAAAATCAGCGTGTCAACGACACCTGAAAAAAGGACCCGGTTCAAATTATTGTCTCATAAGCAATAATCACACGGCAACATTTGATCGACTGTCGCGCATCAGATCTGCCAAATATGAAAATTTAAATAAGTTACAACTAGATTTTGACTTTCCAGAATTTCTTTTATATAGTTGACGTGTATACGTAGACTAGTTAATTTAGTGTTTTAGTTTTATTTGCTCCTATCAATTTTTTCACTTTTAAAATATTGAAATTCTTTTTTCAGGTGATAGTTTAGCAGCCGTGGCAACAGTTTTTGTTAGTTTACCTGGTAATCACAGTACTCCTGTTAAATTGGCCTTGGCGTCATGCCTTATCTCATTTCCAATAAACCGCCAGTATTTTTTAAGGAGGCATTCTATATATTCCCCATCTGCAGTTTAACAATTAAACACTTCTCATTCAAATTTTCATTCGTGATCATTCATATAGACATAGTTCCGTGTAAATATGTACATGTAACATGTAAATATAAGTATTTTCAAAATATTTTGTTTCATTTCAATAATAGTTAAGTAGATAAGAAAACCTTAGCTTTATTTAATAACTCAAAAAGAACTACACATATCCAATCCAATATAAGTCACAAATACATCCCAGTCATATGAATAGTAAATTGTAAGTTACAGTAAAGTTGCGTATTGGGTAAGCAGTTGCGGTTATGTTTGAATAAGTTATTTCCAGTCGGTAATAGTCTCTGTCGTGAAAAATGTCCAATCCAAGTCGTCCGTGTGTTCGTAAAAGTAGGTACTGAAATGGTAATAACAGTTATTGATGAAAAAATTATTACTGCTCTAAAACAAAACATAAAGAAAGCAATAAAATCTTAACCAAAATGGAAATAAAATTAATACACAACAGAAAATGTTTTTGTAACCCAACATATACAACTAAACAATGTTTAATGAAGAACATTAAGTTGAATGAATAGTAAGATAGATACTTCCAGACGTGGATCACAGTTTCGAACTTATTGATTTTCATTGGGACGTTACAGGCAGTTTCGACCGTCCAAATCGAAATTGTTCCGTATAAGGAAATTGATATAATATAAAACTACAGGTAGTATATCGCCATCTAGTAATATTTGCTGCTAACACTAACACTGCTAATATATTTTCAAATACTTGGCAAGACATTACAAAGGTATCTATTTAATAAACTGAATTTACCGCTGGGGACAATGTATAATCAATCATGTAAAACGTTAAAAATAATCCTCTTCACAATGCAGTAGCAAAATATTGGATATTATAATGCGCCGTTTCGTTTGAACGTACATACGTTAATACATATTAATAAATATATTAACATATCACAACCAAAGTGTCCTCTTTCTCTCTTTACTTGCCGCTGCTATTTTACATACCTGAAAAATGTGAAAAAATTGTTGCTCAAACGTGTTGTTTGTTTAACCAAAAAAAGAAAACAATCCGAATATGACAGGATATAAGTTTAGAAGAATCCCAATTTTTGTAATTTGGAATTACATTTAGAAGGAAAGGAATTAGCGACAAATAATAAATAAAATGAAACAATATTATTGCTTATTTTCATACAAATGCAAATACATCTATTATAGCAGCTACCAGGGATCATACTTGTAAAAAGTACCTGTACAAATACTTGTTTTTGTATAGGTATTTAAATACAAAAACAAATGCTTAGTTTCTATAGGAAAATATGTTTGCATTATTATAATTATTACAACACTTTCTTAACAATTTATACATAATCATATATTTTGTTGTATTGAATTGTTTATAAATCATTTTGCAAAAATCAAATAAAATGAAGAAAAAATTGTATTTAAATATAAATAATGAATACTTTCATTGAAAAGTATTTCAAATATAATTACAAATATTCTAAAAGTATTTGAATAAGTATTTCAAATACTTTTACTCAAATATTTTATAATTATGCCTGGGTCCTAGGAATTTCGCAAATGTCCAATCAAAGAATCAGTGAATGGGTCCCTTGTAGATGTTGAAATAGATGTATTTCCATTTTCATGAAAATAAAATAATANTGCATTTATAGATGCTCAAATATTTTATAATTATGCCTGGGTCCTAGGAATTTCGCAAATGTCCAATCAAAGAATCAGTGAATGGGTCCCTTGTAGATGTTGAAATAGATGTATTTCCATTTTCATGAAAATAAAATAATATTGTTCTTTCATTTTTTTAGCATTGGGAACCACTTTTTGATAGTTTTTTGCTAGATGTAATTTCAAAATACAAAAATCTCGATTCTATTCTTCTAAACTTATCTCCTGCAATATATGGTTTGTTTGGATATTTTTCATTAAGCAAACCATGTGTCCAAAACACAAATAAAATGCAGGGTATTCTACTTAAAATAGCGAAGGAAAGGCACCTAATCAAAGGACCCTATTAGATCTTTACGGAAAATGGCCACCTGTCAAAGTCTTTGAAAGTTTGGATTCTAATAGTTCTAGACGATAAAAATTCTCAATGAGTGGGGCGATAAGTCATAAACAATTATTTTTTTAAGATATGGTCCCGTATTGAATACGTTCAAGTATACATATATGCATATGTTGATGTATTATACCTATGTGTATTGCATTTATAGATGCGTTATGCTTTCAGATCAGCAATGGTAATAAACTCTACAAACGTGTATCACCTCAACGTCTTATTGCACATGGGGAATAATTTATAGTTTGTACAATGTATGAAAACAAAAGGTGTAGTTGTAGATTCATACACAAGTTATATATTCTGTGTTGGTGTCTGATTACATCTCTGAGTATATCAACTATAAAGTTGAGGTGTACCGCACTTTTGTAGAGTGCTTACCATCCCTGGTCCGAAACACAATACAATATAGGTATAATACATCAAATATATGCATATACAGTAATATTATTTTATCCTGTCCAATATGTGACCTATTTTTGGTTTAAATCGAAAGAAAATGCACTATGCCTATCTTTGTTGTAACTGTACATAGAAAAGGTGCAATGAAAACAAAGCGTAACCTCTTGAATACGTTCTCGTTTAGGTCAATTGATGGACAGGATAAAATAATACTACTGTACGTATACTTGAACGTATCCAATACGATTAATAGGTATAATTATACCTTAGAAGTCTATTGAGGCTTTTGATATACACGTCGAAAACTATCAGAATCCAAAGTTTAAAAGAGTTTGATAGAGGACCATTTTCCATAAGGATCTAGCGGGGTCCAAAATATATACAGAACAATTTATCGAAATTACTTGGGCACGTAATTTGTTTTCGTACATGTATAAGCTGCGTCGTAGATTCAGTTTGTCAAATAGATCCTTTTGTAATGCCTTGCCAAACATTTGAAATACTATTGTTAGCAACGAATGTCATTAGATGACAATATGACTGTCTGCAGCATGACATTAGAAACTAAATCCAAAAGGCATAAGAAAAAATATAATTAAGGATTGTATCAATCACAAACTGCAATAGTATGCGTGCGTTTCTTATGTGTTTTTCAAATAAACATCAGTTGCAGTATATTAAAACAAGTTTTTATTTGTTGCACTAATGTTTTATTGTTAAAGATATCATTTTCAAGAAAATTTGAAATTTTCATTCCAAAAAACAAAATATTTATTGTGAAATTATTTAGCATGAATCAGCATGTTGTAACTCACAACCTGCATTATTCATTAAAATACAATGCTTTCATTAATGTATATCTACAAATTACAACTTAGAACGAGAGTTGTAGTTTATTTTGATCAAAATTTATAGTGGTCGAAAAAATATTTCACATTAAAAAAGCATACTAAAAATGAATACGAATTGAAAACAGAAAAAAGATTTCTGTCAACTTTTTAAAACATACCTACTGACAATGAGTGCGGCAAAGTAAAATTGAAGCTTTTTGTACTTTAATTAAAATAAAAGTAGTTACTTAACAAATTTTGCACACTGAAAAATTAAAAATGATTTACCAAAAAATAACATGTTATTGTTACTATATTCAATAATAAAAATAGACAAATATGCGGATGCTTTAACAAAATGACTAGAAAGTAGCTATAAAAAATATATAACATGTAAATTTCAGGCGTTATTGATACGAACTTTACCACGGAAACCCTTTTGTTTTTAAGTTACTTAAATATATTTAATGATCTTTCATTCCAATTGTACAACGAAAGTTCTTATCAGTTAGACATTTTAATAATAATGCATTAATTGTGGTAATTTTTGTGAATGGCTTTGGATCATTATAATTGTAATATTTTTACGGCTTGTTTCATTAGCGTATTCTTCAATTTTTTTTAAACAAGTTTGATAAACCTGAAGTGGAACAAGACATTGATATATTAGAATTTAGAAATATTGAATTTTGATTATGAATATCAATAATATTAAACGAAAAATACCTCAGTATTGATTGATATGAGTAAATTGCTCTCCTTACAATATTCCCTTATTAAGGGAGATACCTACCATAGCTACTGATCATGAAAGAAAATAAAGTATAACCTTCGAAAAACTGAGAAATCGGTTAGTTATTTAAAATATTAGTTCATGCCCATTTTTAGATTTTCTGTGAATTAAAAATCCGAAGAGTAAATAAAATTGTCCAAATGTGCCTTACTGCATCTTACCTCGTATAATTTAGTAATAAACTCACCCCTCAATATGGATTAATTTCAAGTTTCATACGTTTTCTCTCGTTCTTTGGTTCTTCTGCTTGCATCACCTTCAAACGAATGCCACATACTTCGGCACCGTGTAAAGTCTACAAAAAAATTGTGTTGCTAAGAATGTTTTGCGAAAAAAAAATTATAAACACCTTTATGGCACTTTCAGCTGATTCTTTTGTAGCATATTTTGCATATCCACAATTCCGGTTATTTAACATGTATACGTCGATTAAATTTCCGAAACGGCTAAAAATATCTTTCATTATTGACATTGGAGGCGGGTTTGGACTACAAACTATGAAGCACCTGAAATTTATAATTATACAAAAATGATACATAATTACATTTTAACTCATTCGAATTTTTTGATTTCATAAAGTAACAAACTATCTAAAAAATAAAAAAGATACCCAACTCTTAATGTAGGCATTATCAACGCGAAACTGGTTCTAAACTGTAAATTGTGACAATTTATAGGAATGTTCAGAGTGGGTGTTTTTAATAATTATACATACTCAATTTGAACATCTGAAGGGCAGAAGAAAGACGAAAACAAGAAGAGTTTTGAAGAAAACTTGAATACGTTCAGTACCAAATATTTAATGTTTAAAAACCACTACTGATCAGAAATGACTTTAACTAATGTATGCTTCGATAAACAACTAAGGAATTCGATTTAAAGATGTGAATGTGTTCAATAACTAATATTATGGGAGGCTGGAAAGCCTTATGAGCCATATTACTTAGTTAACGTATAGTTAACAGTTTAGAACCAGTCTCGCTTTGATAATTCCCGCATTAAGAAGTGAGCTAAATACGTGTCCGCAGTTATCAAATTTATAGTGGTAATTTGGGTACCTCTCGTTCATATTTTAATTAATCATTTACCAGTCTCTAATTTCTACTTCACAAACTATCCCTTAATATTTTATCTCCATAACTCTCAATACCAGATACCCGACAGCAACATAACTTATAACTTGAATTCTGAAGTGTAATGAATTATTTAAAATTTCTATGTATGTACACAAAACACTATTGTGTAAAAACAAAAATCAAGAAACAATGCGAAGTAAGCAAAACTTGCGCTCAAATAAGCTGTAAACGAAGCATCATGTAAATTGCCGAATATCCCCAAAATCGTGATCGGCTTGGCCGACTAGTTGGTCTCTTTAGAACCGACTAATCGGCTAGTCGGTTAGTCGACCAAAGTCATAGTCGGTACATCTCTAATTATTAGAACTTCGATGTCAAATTGACTTATTACTATCTTTGTCAAATTCTTAATAACTATAAATGTATGGTTCCTTTAATTATGCTATTTTTATTATTAGTGCTTTTTCTTTTTTCACTCTGACACATTATCTCATACAATCTTAAAAGTGTTGGATTCGCCGGGTACCAGTGTTGTCTCTAATTAGTAAAATTTTACTTTTAATGCAGTACTTATTATGTACTTATAAATCTTTCAGGAATTTCAATTAATTAATATAAGACTATAGGAATATTTAAAAGACCATTTACAATTTTAATAAGGAAAGTAATTAAAAAAGTAACCTGGTAATACATTCGGCATCTATATCTGCTAACGGTTGCGGATCCGGTAACGAAACGTTACAAACAGTATTGGACAGTTTACTACTTTCAGGTAGTAGATCTATAAAATAAATGCTCAAATAAATAATTATCTGGGATAAGGTTTAATTATTTGAGTAAGGTAGCTTTCTCACAACAATTTCTTAACGCAGAACTTATTAAGGAATACATCTAATTATAATAATTTTTAGAACAATCTTGCATGATATATGTGCAGATAAATTGCCAATAACTTTTTTATATTACCGGAAATTCCAGGAATTCCTTTAGCCGCTTGTAACAGTGTTGTTGCCTTTGCAATTGTTTCGGCCAATTCTAAAATACCTTTGTTTGCTAATGGATTTGGAATTTCTTTAGGTTGATCAAAAAATGATCTTTGTTCAATTTCTGGTTTTACTATCAATCGACTTCCCGGAGGATACTCAAATCCATGCAGTTTCTCTTTTGCATAAGCGGCACTTTGATGACTATTGTAGACAACAGTAGCAAAACATCGACTAGGACGTGACCTGTTGTCTTGTCGTAATTCACAAAATTCCATACCTAGAATATTGAAGACATTAAACAAATTGAAATGAAAATACTATTCAATTTACTAATGAGCGTCTTTTTAACACTTCAATTAGTAAAATTTTCATGAAAAAATCGTAACTCACTACAGTATTAGTTCCTTACAAACTATCTTCATCAGGTAAAAAGAAACAAACCTGGTCCACCAAACATATACTTATACTACAAACTAATATTATCATTTAGGTGCTGGAGAAGACAAGAGGATTAAAATTTAAATTTAAAAGTGGAGAAACACAATGTTTTCTTAAATTACCAATGAAAGGATAATTATCCATTCTTGAATTTAAATTTTAATCTTCTTCCCATCATCACCACATAAATGATATTAGTTTAGAGTATAAATATTTGTTTGGTAATCTGAAATTTTTACTAATTTTTGTATTTAATTTAAATATGAATAAGTTTCAACAAGTGACTTTAACATCAACAATATACCAACTATACAAAAACGTTTCAGATATATTCATTTCACATCATCAATCTTCAGGTACATTATCTCTAGCATGAAATGTGTACACGATTACATTTAATATGTGACAATTTTTATACGGATAAAATTGAACTTATTTACATCACAAGAAATAGGATAAAAGGTGTAGTTTACGACACCCTCTTTGAAGTTTACTTTAAATACTGCAATGCCGCCAATATAATTTAAATGGATAATAGTGATGCTAGGACAGAAACCTGGTGCCTACTTTCAATGCAATTATTAATATGACATTGAATCATTATTATTGTTATTATTATCTGTTATATTTATATCCATGGATTTTCATCCTTTCATTGTAATTTATTTATTCGCTATATGTAATTTTTGATATAAAATGTGCAATGTTCATTCATTTTCGAATTTAATGTCTGTAAATATTTTTTGTTTTTATTAAACATCTTTCTTTAAGTAAATGAAAATTTTATAGGACCATAATACACCTTGCATTTTAACAGCACGAGAAATACCTCTGATGATGCAAATATTAAACCGGGGATACAGTCGTTAAGGATAGTTGAATAATTTGGTCCATATCATAATGTGTAGGTAGGCGAAATTTATAGTCTGACAGGTGGTTCGTATTTGGGTGTTTTTGCATATGAAGACGATAATGACTAGACTAGATATAGAAGCAAAAACTTAGTCAAGCGAATAAGTCTAAAAAGTATTTGGTATTTTCAGCTGTCAAACACAAAATGCAAACAAAACGTCCTTGTTTACACAGCAAATCTGATGCAGTAACCCTTAAGCAACCAATGTACTTTCTATTCCTACCTTCAGTCTTCTTGCATATTACTATGATAAGAACTTTATCTAATCATATATGTGAAAACAAAGTAGGCAGCACTGCTTAAAGTTTGCTATTTTTCTGAGTCAACTTTAGAGAGATAGCAAACTACACATCCACAATTAACAGAAACCATTAACAAACCTGGTACAATGTCAAAGAGCCTCCACAACTGATCTTGATTAACATACGGATCAGTTACAACTTGAAGTTTTGTAAAATATTCATTGGTGTTTACTTCTGGTAAAGTAATGGAAGTTTTAGAATAAATACTAGGAGTATTACTTGAATATGAATCTAACTTAGAAGAATAGCATTTATCTGGCATTTCTTGTTTAGGTTTACGAGGTTCTGCAAACACAGGTTTAAACTTTCTGTCACATTCTTCAAAGGCTTTTGCAGCACTAGTAAATCTAGAAGTTTTCCATAATTATTTAAAAAAGGAAGCAGTTTTGACTAACTTTACTTAAAAAATTTTACATAAGCAAATCCCTTGCTTTCTTTTGTTTCTCTGTCTCGAATAATATTAGCATATTCAATTTCTCCATAATCTTTGAATGTTTGATATAATTCATCATCAGTCATATTTTTAGGAACCAAAACAAATAATCTCTGTAATTTTTCTTCTTCATTCTCGTCTCTTCTGGAACCTTGATCACGGCTACAAACTATCAATAAGTTCTAATTCAAATAAACATTCTTTTCTAGCTTACCTAGCAGCAATCATCACTTTTAAGCGTCTACTACAATTGGCAATCATTTTTCCATTCATATTTTCTAAAGCAAATGCTGCTTCAGAAGTTTTGGTGTATTTGATATATGCAACACCTAGAAAATTGTGAACATAATACAGAGATGTTCTGTTCAAGAATAAAAATAATGACAATGTAAGATTATTAATAAACATTTCAAAAATACCTTTACTTTCTCCTGTTTGGCGATCACGAACTATCCATATTTCATCAATTTTCCCAAATTTTGCAAATTCATTTTGCAAATCTTCTTCGGTAACTTGCTTGCTACAAATGATAAATAATCTAGAATTAGGGGGATCATCATCTGATTTTTCACTAAATGAGTGTTTTCTATCGTAACGGTCGGTCATGTTGCCTTAATAATATACTACGATAAATACACACTGTTACATAAAACTACCAAGTGGTCAATAATTAATTAATGTTTAACAACTTTTCTTAACTGAAGTAAAAGTTAAAAGTTATTTATTAGTGGTCTATCAAACATCAAACTGCATAACCATAGATAATAGCTGCATAACAAATATCAAAATCCAAACTGTTCAAAATCATAATCATAGATTAAAACATAATCTTCATAATCCAAAATTTATTACACAATGGCAATATACAGTTGCTATTAATTTGACAAAACAAGGATTTCTCTATGGATTATACAAAAAATCTATGTCCATAAAATTAAATCTACATCTATAATTTTCACTTATAGCAATAACCACGGTAGATAGTACCACTATTGTTATATTTGTTGGCTATTTATTTTTTTTTCCTTTTTAAAACGTTGTAAAAAGAATTTTCATAATGCATATGTATATATTTTTTTTTTTGTTCTTCAACCATGGTTCTATATTTTCCATATACTTCAGGTTGGGAGTGGTTAGGTTCATTGTATAAATTTATGGTAGTAATATAGTAGTAATTTTCGAAACTACCAAATCTACTAAACATAAAATACTATGTTCATTTAAGTTCTTGATCAGAAATTTATCGAAGCTACCAGAAGTAGATCGCAATTTAAATTTCATTAGTTTTCATCATCGCGCCATATTCACGACAATGTCCATATTCCTTATTGATCAGTGAATAGGTATATTCGTTTTCTATTATTTTCTGCAGTTTGCGCATACGAATTTTTCAAAAATAAGTTGTGAGCATACTAGCTTGAGAAGTATAACTAATTATTAACAAATGCGCATGTGCGAATCAAAGTAAAAAAGGAAATAAATACAGCTAATAATGTTGTGTTCCATTGTTCTTTCAAAAATTAGTGGCGTGCAAGATGAACGGAGGCGTACAATTGATTTTTGAAAAATTGCGCATGCTCAACTAAAGCTGATGTACAGTAGCGACCCTTGTATTTTCTTTTTTCTATTTATCTTTTATTATTCATGACGTTTTTAGATTCATTTTCGGTTTCAGGAGTTTAGATTTCCTATCTTTAACTGACACCTTACATGTAACTGGCTGCTAATGTTTTTTTCTAATAGTTATGGACGGTACTAATAACGAATAAAAAGTAATTATGGTTTTGGTTATTCTTTATGGAAAATGATTAAAATATTGCAGTTTTCTAAGTGGTAGTGAATATTTATTTAACAAGTCACATAGCAAGCAGACAAGCACATATATAACATTGTCTATGCAAATAACTAGAGAGTAAAGATAGATAGATAAGTAATATTATCTATGATAATTGGGAACGGCTTTATAGTATATGCATAGTACAATGGTCATAGATAAGAATAATCTTTCTTTTTTCATTTACAATCTTTTTTATATTCATATTCTTAATTCATATATTATGTAGATACGCAAGGTACTCATATACAAGAGATATATGCTTGCGATGCTTATGTCAGTGTAAAAAAATGTTTGTCGGTTTAAAAATATCTTAAATGTATTAAGTGTATTTTCTGGACAGATCAACAAACAGTTTATCATAGTTTCAGTTACAACAATTGGTTATAATTAATTTAATTTAAACTGGGATTTCTATTACGTGAGGAAAAATGAATGGTATTAGAAAAGCAATCCTGCAAACTTTAAGTACTACAGTTTTTGTGCAGAATGAATTTATTTCTTCACATTATAAATAGTTTTTTTAAATGTATGTTATTATTAAAACAAAGGTAATTAAATATTTTATACTTGCACATAGGAAGGGAAAGGTATAGTATGTTAAATTTTGCTGCATTATTTTTGCAGAACCTTTTATAATACTTAAATTAAATAGTATAATGGCTGCAAATAATGAACTTCCAACTAATAGAAAATGGGAAATATATCCAGGCCATACTAGAAAATGGGAAGTTTTTGCAGGTCGAAATAAATTCTATTGTGATGGTAGGCTGATGACTGCTCCACATTCAGGTGTTTTTTTACTTACAGTTAGTTTGATAACAGGGACAAGTACACTATTTTTTGTATTTGAGTAAGTTGGTTTGTATTGGTTCATTGTGATATTTAACATTAGAATCGTTTGTACTCATTTACTACTTCTAAAAAGGATAAATAGTTCATAGTTTGCTAATTTTTTCAGTATAGAATAAATTACAAAATTGAAATCTTGATAGTATGATTCTCTGAGGTTTATTTTTCTTATAATATGACAGTGATGTTGCAGGTACATTCATTTTATTTCTTTCTCTCTTTTTTTAGTTGTCAATATTTAGCTGAAAACGTGAGTTTAGCAATTCCTTTTATAGGATGTTTTCTATTTGTATTTACAATGTCAACATTGCTTAGAACATCTTTAAGTGATCCTGGAATTATACCTCGAGCTACACCTGATGAAGCAGCATATGTTGAAAAGCAAATAGGTAAATAAAAGAATATATTTTGCAAGTTGATATTTTCAAAAATTTTGAAAGAAAATAAAGTAATATTCACATTTAGAAGTAACAAATTCGGCCAATAGTCCAACATATAGACCACCACCAAGGACTAAGGAGGTGCTAATAAAAGGACAAACTGTTAAATTGAAATACTGTTTTACATGTAAAATATTTCGCCCACCACGTGCTTCTCATTGTAGTTTATGTGATAATTGTGTTGAAAGATTTGATCATCACTGCCCATGGGTGAGATATACCTACTATACAATTAAATCAGTTTTTTACATTAATTAATAATGTTTTTTTTATTTATCTTAGGTCGGGAACTGTGTTGGAAAAAGAAACTATAGATTTTTTTACATGTTCATAGTTTCTCTTGCCTTTCTTGCTGTTTATATCTTTTCTTGTTCTGTTGCTCACCTTATCTTATGTAAGATGTTTATAAGCGTATCTAACATTTATGTATCATTTGTAAAAGGCATTTTTTTAGTAACGCGAGAAGATATGCCTTTCATGGATGCTGTAAAACAATCACCTGCAAGTGTTGTTAGTGCAGTAGTATGTTTTTTCAGTGTCTGGAGTATTTTAGGTCTTGCTGGTTTTCATACCTACCTCACAACTAGCAACCAAACCACTAATGAAGATGTAAGTTTAGTTATTATTTTTTTGTTTCTTATGTTTCTAATGATCTCATCTTATAGATAAAAGGTTCTTTTACGGGAAAAAGAGGACAAGAAAATTTTAATCCATATTCATACGGAAATGTATGTTCAAACTGTTGCCAAATACTTTGTGGTCCGTTAGCTCCATCTTTAATTGACAGGTAAAACACTGTACTTACAATTAGTAAAATTAATAAAACATATTGTTTAAGACGAGGAATTGTTACTGAAGATTACAAGGCAGAAATAACTGAAAATATTATTATTGCTGAACCAACTTCTGATTTAAAGCCTTATCCTGTACAGGTGAGACACTATTGTTTGATTTAATTTAACATGAACTACTGAGTTTATCTTTAATTTCTTCTATGTGAAGTTTAAGAATAAACAGCTTACATAATTTTAAAAGTTAGAAAATAAAATCTTTTCAGCATCTTAGTTTTGCTAAAACATTAAAAATATAAAAATATTTTTTCATTTTACGCGTTACATTTAAATTGTAACGGAGAATGATTAAAAATGATTTAAAATATTTGTTTGTATTATTTTTTAATTGGATATTTGCCAAAAATTTAAATTAAATTAAACAAGCCAAAAACGCTACTTTTCCGATCGCTTAGATATATATTTTGACACTATAAGTACACATTGGGGTGTTGTTTTTTGTATTGCACTGATATTTCTTTTTTATTTTAGAATGGTTCGACACAGCTACATCTAACAACAGAAATAAAGGAATTCTATCGACGGAATAATAACGAAACTACAGGTACGTACAAACCCCTGTTGAAAGAATTTCGTTTGAGCAAATCGGCAGACATATACGGCAGAACGGTTTCGAGATCTGTCCTACCGCCTTCTTCTTCATATTATAATGTTCATGTACAAAACAAAAACATTGTTTATGATGTACGCAATTCATACAGAAATTTTCGCGAACGTGACGACAATAATCCCGGTGAAAATATCTACGATTCCTGTGAAAATAATTCTGATCGTTTCTCTTGTTCGAGTCGCGAAGAAGAGCGATATGGCAGATCTTACACACCTCCAGAAAAACGATATAACAAGAATTTTGGACGTAAGCCACCGCTCAAAAAGCACAAAAGTGAAAACGACGGGGTTATGCGGTACACTTAC